TCCGCATCGGAAGATGACGTAGAAGAATGCAGACATCGATGACACAATGTTGGCAGCGACGGTCACGTAGATGATGATGAAGTGACTGCGCCTGACGACGATGCGGGAGAAGAAGATGGCTAGAGAAATCTTGACCAGCATGATTGCCATGAGATAGCCGGTCTCTCTCACAATAACCCACTGCAATGGTTAGTATGGTTCGCAAGGACAGGATCAGAATACTTACTTTTGTCACCTTCTGCAACTCGTCCGCGCTGGTGATCTCGCTGGTTCCACCAGATGCTTCAACCAACCAAACTGATCCGCAGAACAAAGTGAACGTCAACTGCTAATGTTAGTTAATGATCACTTGGCAGTGGTGACAAAACCCTACACCGGCAAGTAGCATGACCGCATCATCCCAGCCAAAACTACGGATAATACATGTGCGAGTCCATATCCTGAGTAGGATGAAGATCCAGGATACAACCAGGAAGGCAATGGTAATCCGTTGTTGCTGTTCGGCGGCCATCGCCAGGTCGGCTGAGCTGTGCGTCATGGTGTCGATGTCGAGAGCACGACCAAGTGTCAAGCTGACGGAAAGCAAAGTTGCGCAGTGGTATCAAACGAGAGTAGCGTATTGCTCGAAGAGAGCAACGTATGGTCGTTCATGAGAAAGATACAACAAGAAACGGCGGGACCTGCATCGAAGGGAAGAACCGGTTTAGTATCCCGCATCATTATGTTGAGTCGAGTTTGGTTCACTATGGCTTGTAGTAGCATGCACAGCGGCCCAGCCAGTCTATCAAGTTCCCAGTAGACTATTGCCCACCGGCGGCCTTCTCCATCCTGTGAGGAGCTCTGGAGCTGCATCCAAAACTCTAATCTGACGGCTGAGGCGAATCCGAACCTTGAGCTATCGTTACTCGTAGTGTAGACGGCGGCGCTGCGGGGACGCTGCCTAGCGTTGCCGACCCATGTTGGGCTCTACGGGGTCTTCTCCGACACTGGATTAGGAGTATGTGCAGCAAGTATGTAGGTAGACAATCATAAGCGGACGCGAAACATACAGTATGCGTGCGGGGGAGTCGGTGGGGGGGCGTTGAGGGTAGTGTCAGGCACAGGGTGGGTCTGAAAGGGAGAGGGACCTCGGGATTGGTGATCTCCCCGACGCTTGGACCTTCAGATTTCCAGTCCCAGTCCTGCTTCCATCGCGAACAAGCAAACATGACCCTGGCGGAGAAAGCAGCACGAGGCAAACGGCAGAAAAAGAAAAGCACATCGGCCACCAAAGACACGCCTGGACACCGGAGAATATCGCCCCTACATTAATATCTTATAGGCTTGCGCTTAAATTTAAAGTCTTTTTGTAAGGAACTTTAGGTGTGTATATTAGTAAGTTAGTAAGTTAATAACTATAGTTTACTAAAGTTTATTAAAATAGTTATTTTTATATTTAACTATAGTAGCTAAGAATAACTCTATAATAAATATATAATAAGTTATTTAATAAGTTTTATAATAGCTTATACTATAAAACTAAAGTTAAAGCTTAAAGTTTTTATAAAAAAAGTACTTCTACTCTCTTTTCTTCTTTATTATAATAATAAATAATTAAAATTTTTTTTAAAATAATATTAAGTACCTAGCTCTTATAATAAGCTTAGCTTAAGTAGACTTATTTAATACTATATACTTTAACTTTTCTTTTTAATAAAAGTTTATCTACTTTTTTACTTTATATATTAATTATTTCTATAGCTAAAGAGATAGTAAGTTACTTAGACTAGTAAAGCGCTTATATATACTTAATATATTAAAGCTTCTATTTTAGATACTTAAAAATAGTATATAATTTACTAAAGTATTAAAGTAAAGTTACTAATAATATTATAGTACTAAGCTATTTTTATCTTTATAATAAAAAGCTTACTATATTAAATATACTACTTTTATAAGTTTTTATAAGCTAAAAGCTTTTTCTAAATAAAATAAACTTTTTAGTAATAGTATATAAGTAGCGTAAAATATTAGTAAATATAGTACTTACTATATTTAGGCTTAGTATATAGTTTAACTAAAGTAAATATAGTAGTTAAAGTAATTAGAGCTAGTAATAAAAATTAAGTTAGTAGCTTTTATAGTACTTTTCTATTTAGGTAAGTAGTAGCGTTATAAGATTATAGAATAAAAAAAACTACTTTTAGACTAGCGCCTTAGTAAATAAGACATAGATTACATTGCCTACATTAATATATCAACACTAAAGTTAGGTTCGCACTGTTCGCGTCCGGTTGGGTACCTGGCTCGCATGCACGTGAGTGATCAACACTCGTCCGCACGGTCTGCCACATTCGCCTTAGCCAGGGACGCCACGATCCCAAATACCAGATACCCGTGGACCGAGGCGAGCCTAGACAGACGATAGGTGCGGGAGTAGTCGCGACTTGGGAACGAAGGTTTGCACGGAAGCTGCCTGAGGTGTACGGTCAGGGCAGCCATACAGCACACTCCAGACCCTTTTCAGACACGCTTCACCCCTGCTTGCTGTCGCCACGGGCCCTAGTCACGCTCCCCCGAAGCTTGCATCCTGCATCCCGTGACGTCAATCTAGCGTCCCTTTACAGCACTTGAGGAAGCGAAGATCAGCATGCCGCCTTCACTTCGCCGACGAGGAGGCCAAGCACACCAACATCGCATGCCCCCGCCCTCACCACCAGAAGCCCAAGACACGTCCAGCGACGCAGAACTAGACGGTCGCCAAGATGTCGAAGAAGAAGAGCAGGATGCCTCCGCAGCCGACGACGACGAAACCCTTGGCGACGACCTAATCGGCCTCGAAGGTGATGAAGAAGACCAAGAAGAAGACGACGAAGGCGACGAAGAACTCGGTTCAGAAGATGGTCTCGCATCCCCAAACCTCCCCTCAGATAGTCTACCCAACCTCGATCCCCCACCACCTTACCTCCGCGAAATCTCCACCCTAGCATCCTGGACCGTATCTTCTTCCAAACCAGGCTGTTCAATTCCCCAACTGCGGCACCCAAATACGAACCTCTTCTGGCAATCCGATGGACCACAGCCTCACTATCTCAACATCCACTTCTTCAAACTCGTCCGTATTGTGGGATTGAGACTGTATCTCGACTTCGAACAAGACGAGAGTTACACGCCCACCAAGATAATCTTCCTCGCTGGCAGCGGGCTGAACGACCTCCAGGAATGGGGCGAGATGCGATTGGAGAGTCCGAGGGGATGGATCTGGGCTGATTTCTCGGGGGTAGGAGATCCGGATAGTGATGATGAGGGCGGTGACGACGACGACGAAGAAGGTGATGGAGGAGGAAACGCAGGCGAACGACCACAACGTCTCCTCACAGACGCCTTGCACCTCAACGGTGGGAGGAGAGGCAACGACGCATCTTCTGATTCTGAAAACGCGGCGCCGGGCCAAGGAGGGGATCTGGATATGCAGACTCCAGGACAGCAAGATACGCCTATACCTCCGTATCCTTCATACGACACACCCCAACCCAGCCAACCCACCCAACAACAACAACCCCCTCCACCAGGCACCCGCACACGCACCCGCCGCGCAAACCTCCACCCAAACCCCTCCATCACACCGACCACCCAAAACCATCCCCCATCAACCCCCACCATCCCCCCATCCACACAACCGCAAACCCTCCCCCGACCCCACCCCCGCGCCCCTTTCGCCTCCCTCTCACCCAACCCCGCTCCCCGCCCCGCTCCCTCCAATACTTTCTCAACGCCAAAGCTACCAGTGCTACGAGCGCATCTGGTTCAGATTAAGATCTTGGAGAATCATCAAAATGGCAAGGATACGCATTTGCGCGGCTTACAAATTTTTGTGAGGAATGATGAGGATGGGTTTAAGGGGAGTGGTGGTGGTGGTGGGCAGGGACATAAGGGTGTGACGGCGAGGATAGAAGGGAGTGGGGTACAAGGGATGAGGGAGATGGTGAGGAGGGAGAAGATGGAGAGGAAAAGGAGGGAGGAGGTGTTGGAGTTGGGTGGGGGGGTTATGGGGATGGGGATGGGTGGAGGTGGAGGAGGGATGGGGGGTATTAGATGATATTTTAGTGTCTTTGAGTGAGGGAATAAGGAATGGACCGAGCGAGCGGGCTAGCGATCTTTCAGCTGGTTCCTCCAAACCACAGCTTGGAAAGTCTCAAGAGCATTGGTAGAGCAATGTGGCGTGGAATACGCGTTGTAGCCTTTGCAACCATTCTTGGGTGGAAACAATATCAACATATCAAGCATAAAGTGCATCAACGAAGGCATACATCGAAAATGGACTCTTCAGCTATGCCATCCTTCTTCACATCATTCTATCATTCCTCCGTTGTCAACTTTGTCGCAGGCGGGTGGATGTCATTGCTACGAAATTATTGTAATTTGACCTCCACCACCTCCCCTCCGCCTCCCCTCCGCCTCCCCCACCCACCCGGGGGGTATTAGATGATATTCATGGATCGTTGAACGAGTAGACAAGAGACCGGAGACGTTCTTGTCGTTCAGCGAGCATCCTCAGATCACAAGCTTGAAAGCTGGAATGAGCGGCAACAAGGCAATGCGCATTAATAAGCATCACTTAGGCATGATCACCATCAAAGTATCAAGTACTCAGCGTTCATGAAGAAATAAAAAAATTTAGATTCCATAGCCTACGCCATCCATTCCATTCCATTCCTATCCTTTCCTTCCCAGTTCCATCATCTCTCGTACATTTGGATATACCTTTCCTCCAAGCTTTTAGTTGTATATAAATGTTCCGGTGATGACATCAGTTCCCTCAAAAAGCAAGATACAGATACATAGATGACCGGATATCTCGCGATCTATAACAGAGAGCGCCTAGGAAATGTGTCTCCCTCTCAATCTCCAGGAGCGGGGAAGAAGGGAGCAACCGCCAGCAGCGGAGTGGCAGGGCACTTCCAGCCTGGGGCTATTTGTTGCTTGACGACGATCTAGCCTCTCTAAATGACTTTCATCATCTAGAAAAGACCCTTACCGTCCTTCTCCCCAAGCGTATTCTTCAAATCCTTAGGCTCAGCCTCCTTCTCCGGCTTAGCGACCTGCTCGTCACTCGGGCCATTCTTCTTGTTTTGCTGCTTACGCGGCAACTTGCTCGGACTACGGTTCCGGTCCATCTTCTCCTTGTTACCATTCGCATTCTCCTTCTCCTTCTCCTTCTCCTTGACATCCTCCTCGTTATCCTCGTACGCCTGCTCAACCTTCTCGCCAGCAGCCTCAGCCTTACCAACAAGCTCCTTGGCAATCTGCCTGGCCTTCTTGCTGGTCGCATCGGCGCCCTCGTCAAGCTCCTGCAGTTTCTGGCTCACGCGGCGGTTTACGTTCTCGAGGAACTTTTGGTTGGCGGGGGACATGCTGCCTTTGCGCTCGTCTTTGATGTGGCCGTTTGCGGGCTTCCTTCCGCGGACAGCGTCTCTAGCGCGGTTCACGCCTGAGGAGATGGCGTCTTCGGCGGATTTGTCGAGAGAGTCGAGTTCGCGCTCTACGTTGCGGCTGGCGTCGCCGGCGGCGTCGGAGATGGTGCGGTGCTTGAAGTTCTGCTTGGAGTTGGGGGTGGAGCGGCGGAGGTACGACTTGAAGAAGAAGCGCATGAAGAGGATGGTCAGCGGGGCCAGGTAGATCAGGTTGACGTAGATGGCAAAGGCTTGGCCCGAGGTGTCGACACAGGGAACGGTCTGGTACTCGGTGCGGTAGAAGGTCCTCTCGACTGTCTCGTGGGGGTGGAAGAAGTCGTGGACTGCGTTGTGGGTGGGGGCAGGCTCTCCGGCAATGACTTGCTGGGGCTGGCGAACGGGGATGGGCTGGCCAGGGACGGGGATGTTCTCTGCGAGACCTTCATCGCCAGCTGCGCGGTAGATGAGCTTCCTCAGGAAGGCCACAGCAACACCAGTCACGGTGGGGAGAGCTTCGGCAACCGACTCAGTAGCGGATGCAACTGCGGATGAGACGCTGGACGAGACCACCTTGGGCGCGACCTTCTCAGCAACCTTGTATGCGACCGAAACGGGGACGGTGTAGGAGATGAAGAGGTGGATAGCGGCGAAGGCGGATCCGACGAGGAACTGGGTGATTTGGAGGGTGGTCAGAGTTCGCTTGACGATGTTGGGGACGCGGTAGCCGAGCGCGGAGACAGTGTAGTAGGTGTACTGAAAAACGTTAGTGGGCGCCATTTGCTTGGAGAAAAGCTGCTTACCATCATGGCGTGGATTCCAGAGTTGACCGTGGCAAACATCCAGATGGGAGGCGACATGAAGCGCATACCAGCCCACATGGACAACATAGCGCCGGCATGGTGGTACTTCTGGAGGGTAGTGCTGCGCTTGCCCTTTGCGAGAATGATGGCCGTGTCAAGGACTTCGTAGAACTTGGAGAGGTAGAACCACCAGCCCCAGAAAGCAAGACCCTCGTTCCAGATCCTGCCAACGTCGGTGGTGTCGGGCAGGCCGTTGGAGCCGATCTGAACCTTGGAGTTGAGGCTGCTCCAGCTGTCGTTGACGTTGCTGTAGGTGACGGCGTCGCCCAGGCCGCGGGGGCCGTGGATCTTGCAGAGGGCGTCGATAGTGCCGACAACGGCGTTGGGCTCGCTGTAGTGGGGGAACGAGTGCTTGAGGCAGCGGATCATGGCCACGCACGTCACGGCCGAGTAGACGGCGAGGAAGACATTGTGGAAGATGACAAAGGCGTAGAAGGGGCGGGTTTTGGCGATCCTCCACGGCTTGTTACCGTGCTGGCGGTTGTACCAGTTGACGTACGTCACGGCCACGAAATAGACGGAGGCGATGGTCAGCGGGACCTTGTACGACAGCGCGCCCTGGTAGATGTCTTCGGGGATGGGGAAGGGGTTCTGGAAGGTCGACTCGCCCGACCATGGCGGCGGAATGGGCGAGGGCGCGGCATCGGGAGGGAACTGGAGGACAGCCCTCGACGGCCAGTCGCCGGGGTGGAGGGAAGGGCCTGCGCCGGACATGGTGGGCGTGGCGGCGGGAGACGATGCGCGGGTGGAGGGGCAGGTGGTGGCAGCACTCAATGGGCGGGTGGTGGGTGAGGTGAAGGTGTTGGCCAGGCAGGCGCAAACAGGGTACGGCAGAGGCAGAGGGTCTGGGGGCCGCTGGGGTTTTTCTGTGGTCCGATGAGGTCAATGCCCAACGGTTGTGCTAAACTTTATCGCGAGAATCGGCCCTCGGAGCTCTGGGCGTGCCTATCGTCGGCGCAAAGTTGCGATAGAGTTGGTGTTGATGGTATTCGGAATCTCGCTAGGCACGCGATGCCACCTAGGTGTACTGCTTGGGCTACACGCACGAACCCAGGGCAAGGCGCACAGGTTATATCGTAGAATTAAGTGCACAGATATGCCCGGAGCGAGGACGCATGCAGTAACGGTGCGTCGGACAAGGAGCTAGAAGCAGCAGGCAAAGGCTTCTGGACGTCCCTCTTGGTTATGCTGAGCGTGACGGGCCAATGGCGTCGCGACCAGCTACCGAGGCGAATAATCACCACCTCCCACTGGACACCCGCCTCGACAAGACCCTCTTGAAGTTTATCTAGAATTTACATCTGCTCGCAAGTCTAACGCCATGGGGTAACACGAGTATACATCCCGTCTTGTCGACGAAAAGGCGGTCGTCATCTTGCGTTGTGCGATTGTAGAGATGCATGCTGCAAAATTTCTGCAAGGATGCTGTGAACCTGTTGAGGGTCCGGCTAAGCGCAAATCTGGGAGCAAAAGCCACCGACGCCGTAACTGGGAAGAGGCAGGGTGACGTGCCGCAGCCACATCTGGGGAACAGGTTTAGTAGGATGTACACTGGTAATATTGCTATCTTGATCAATCAAGTTGATTGTTGGTATCTTTGGATTATTGGTAGACTATAGGTAGAGACTCAGAACTTGGGCTTGCTACTCAGAGGAATCGGCGGTGGTTCACCCGAGCCGTCGCTGAGTTCCTTCTTCTTGGGCGGTGGCGGAGGCGGTGCCTTTTTTCCTAGGCCTCCCGCACTACTTTGCGACGACGACTGCGCTGGGCCTGAGGATGCACTTGACGATGCGAAGTTGTTCATCTTGCCAGCAATGCCGTACTTCTGGTTCATAGAGTTGGCCGACTTCCACCCAGACGCGACCTGATCTCCATGCCGCTGCTGGAAGTTGTTGGCAGTCGATGCAGCTCCTTTCAAGTCTGAAGCTGATACCTTGGATGGGTCATCGCGTAGACTGCTGGCGGTCCGCAGTGCTGCCTGCTTGTCTGCCCACGACGTGCCAGTGGCTGGGGGAGCTGCTGGTGATTTTGGCCCAGACATACTTGCGAACCTACTCTGCAACTCGTTCATTTGCGAGCCACGACTAGGCGGGGCGGGAGGTGGTAGGACAGCCCTCGAGCTTGAGTTCTGTCGCGGTGGGACGGGCGGTGATGGGTTTGCGCGAGGCGGTACTGGAGGAGAAGCTGTCCGTCCGATACCAAAGCCCGACACCGAGACACCTGCTTGACCCAGGCGACCCAGAGCACCTTGGTTCAGCACTCCCTGCTCAGGTCTTGCCTCTTGTGTCGCCTCATTATAGGTAGGTGGAGGAGCCGGTGCGAATTCATCGGGGTTCGAGTTCTGGCGCGGTGGTAGTGGAGGCCGTGGGGGCAGGCTGGGCTTTGGTTTGGCGGCACCTGTAGTCGGTGGTGTCGCAGCGCCAGGTCTGAACGCAGGAGGCTTGGGCAGATGCGCTGTGCTCAACCCTGTCGTGTCGGGTCGGTATGGCCCTGGGGCTGGTCTGTTTGCTTCTTCCTCCTCCCTCCTGCGAGCCTCTTCTCGCTCCTGCAGTCTTTGCTTTGCCGACCCAGCAGGCGCAGACGACGGTCCGGATGGTGCAGATGCTGCCGAACCGCCGCTGTAGTCGAGTCTCTTGGGCGGCGGCGCAAACTGCGAGGGGTCTTTCAGGGATGACAGTGGTGCTGACTGGTGATCGCGGGCGGCTTCTGCATGGGGGTCTTTACCCTGTGCCTTTCCAACCCATCCTTTCTACACACCGTTAGTTGACGGTCGATAAGGAGGAAGGTAGGCTTACATACCACCTGTGTAAGTTTCGAGTCGCTCGCTCCGCCTCCACCGCTCCCACTGTTAGTGCGACTCTTTTCGGGATGCCAGCCTCCTTTGGCGACGCTCTTGAATTTGTCCATGCCGTGTTAGCGGAGGAGTCTGGGGTTAAGCGTTGGCGTCGTGAATGCCAGCGGATAGCGGAACCGACGCGTGCGGGCCGATGAGATCATCAGCCAAGCGGGCCTTTAGCACATGTCAGCTCAAGCCGGCACGTCGGTCGGACTAATGCCCTGGGACTGGCTGACATGCCGCAGCAGAGTTCCATCGGGGCATTGAATGCCGCATGACGGTGCTGTGAATGCGGAGTCTGCGTGGGAACGCTCCATGTGTTTGTCGTGTAGAAAGATTCGAGGCCGCCCGTCAGCAGGCGCCACACGTGCTCAGCGGAGACTCACAACATCCGGACTTGAGAACCTCCCGCACTGCAGCTGCAATGCATGGCTTAGTTCCGTGTTTCATCTTTGCTAGCTGCAGCTGAGGGGAGTTTGTCGTGATACCATGCCTCAACAGTACCCACTTGCAACATCCAGGACGACCAACTGCAGCTATAGCCTGTCACAGTCAGCTCTATCGTCCCGGCCCTACTCCCATCCAATCACCCACCACGACAGGCACTCCAAAGGATCTGCATACCAGCTCAGTCGGATGCGCCGGCCTATCCTTGCGATTGTTTGTTTGACTTCCCGTCACCACAACGAAGACACCATGAGTATGAAAGCAGCATTCCAGGCAATATAACGAACAAACGCCGTCAGACTGTGCTCAGCACGCAGATACGATTGCATCATACTAAGCTTTGTTAGATCGACGGCTAGACATTAGCCAGGCTAAATTTACCCCCTCCCGAGCAGGTGGGGTTTGTTCGTCTTATAGGCGTCGAGGCTGAGTCCGTCTCTCCCCAGCATCCCAGCATGTAGCCAACCGCGCCGACTCTTTGCAGCCGGCCCTTCGGACTTTGATTCTGTTGGCTTGACAGCTTGCATCGCACACATGTTGCCAGACAACGGGTAACATGTCTGCGCCACCCCAGCCGGGCGGCCACTTCTCAAAGGATTGCCCTCCCCTCTCCGTGTCCACTTTGCATTGCCTTTCAAGACCAACAAGACGCCAATCGATCCTCCCAGCCTACGAGTCCAGCAGAAGAAACGACTCACTGCCTAGGGATACATAGTGTGCCGTTTTCGCGTCATCGATTGGACTACCAGCCTTGGAAGGTCACGCCCAAAACCCGTTCTCGGCCCCGCATCTCCCATCACTGGTCAGAAAGTGGAGCATCACCACCACCACATTCCAGCTCCCCGCCTCGGTCATATCTAGGTGTCAGGCATCTCCGTCTGATTCCTGTCTCCTTACTGGTGTCGTCCCAACACACCACTGCGGCTCATCCATACATAGCTAGTTGCTCGCGTCAGCGGTTCGTCCAGCCGCAATGGCTCCGCCTAGGAAAGAGGAATGGGACGAAGATGAAAATGACAGAGGGCCGCCCTGGCCCACGGAAACTGAAAGCGAGTCGGACACAGAAACAATCTCCCTGCTTCCTGTGGTTATCGAACCTACTGGTCCATCGGTCGAACCAGCATCGTATACTGCGATGCCGTCGATCACCCAAGTCCAAGTAACGAACAGTGCATGGAACTCAGAACTCTTCAGCCAACCCTCGCCACCTCCCAAACCCGCTCTACCAAGCAAAAGACCACCTGGTTACCCGACGGATCGTCCCTGGCCTCCTCTATACGGACCCACCCCGTCGTCTCAAGACTGGCAAACTTCCGCTTCTGCAACAACACCATATGCCGACCACCTGCCCACAACCTCATCATGGACAACGTCTATCTCAACATTCTCGCCCGATCCCTTCGGACCACCTACCCCAACAAACATTTTTCCAGGCGCAACCTTGCCTCTACCTGAGAAACACACAAACAACACGCCCATCTACGCCGCCGCAGCCATCATACCCATTGTTGTCCTTGCAATCATGGCCAGCGTGACCTTCCTCTGCGTGCGCAAACGAAAGAGACGGCGCGCCGCTGCGCTTGCGACTGAGCGCGAAGTCGAGGAGATGAAAATGACGACTCCATCACAAACACCACACAGAAATGGGAACGAACACGTGCACCCATACATCGCACCACCACCCTCCCATCCTCCTCCAATCCTCCCACCAATCCCCTCCATATCACAACACCAACGTAACTCCCACCTCCTCCCCCCAACATCCACACCCAGCGCCTTCCACCCCATCATCCTCGGCCCCATCTCCCACTCCAACTCCAACGGCGCCTACCTGACCGGCATGGATACCTCGGACATGGTCTCTGTGTCTTCCAATACGCTCAGACCGATTGAAGATCCCTTTGGCGACAATAGTAGTTTGAATGAGCCGCCGCCGCCGTATCGACCTTGTAGTTTGCCGCCGCCGAGTTTTGTCTCGGAGGGGGGTGCGCCACCGAGTTTTACGACGAATTCGCTGCGTAGTGCTGGACCACCGAGCTTTACAAGTGGAAGTAGTCTTATAGAGGGCATGGAGAGGGAAGGCGGTGCTGGTCCTGGGATGGGTTCGAGGGCGCATCTTATTGAGCGGAGTCCTTTTGATGACCCGGATGATGGGGTATCGGAGATATCAGGGCCGATACATGGGGGCAACGGGAATGGAGATAGTATGTCAGCTGTATCAGATCTTTCGTACCAGCGAGAAACGTTTGATGAGTTTAGTAGGAGGGGGTTTTCTTAGGTAATGCAGGGGAGTGAGTTGGAGGGATCTTTTCTTTCGATGTGTACATAGTTTTCGTGGAATGTATTTCATTCACCACATTGCCTGCTTCATGCTCGTTAAGTAGATGTTCGTTGTGGTATTTGGATCTCATGTTAAGCTTCCGAGGAATCT